GCAGGAATCATCTCATTTCTAGAAGGAAGGGGAGTAATTAAAGATTTGTGATCTGACAAAGCATTAGGATCTGTTTGTCCTAGAGGCTGGACAGGAGAACTAGAACTCTGAGGTAAAGGTGCAAGATGACAGCCCAGAGAAGTAGGAAAAACTGGGGGGACACTGTGAGCCTTTTGAGAAGAGGTCACCACAGGAATAGACTGGGTTGAAGGAGATAAGGATAAGGCAAGAGGGGGACTAGCAGGTCCTTTTAAGCTGAGGCTTACTGGGTTTTGTGGAGAAGTCAGAGCTGAAGAAATAGGGCTACCTTTCACCTGAGGGGATGAAGCTACTCCAGATTTAACAGAGGCCAAGGGAGTTCCAAGGTGGGATGGAACAGCATTGACTATACCTGCATGGCTGGGGGTACCTTTGGGATTAGAAACTACTTGAGAGAGAACCTGAGCTGGATAAGCCTTTGGTTCTAAGGGAGCAATGGGAGTTGATATCGATGTCATTGATCCTGACTCAGCTACAGTAACAGAAGGAGGCAAGGTAAGAGGGTTAGGTGTAAGAGCAGAACTCTTTTGAACTGAGTGGGGAGCCAGGGCAACCAGAGCCAAGGGAGCTGAAGAGGAACTGGTGCCTTTCAGAGTTGGAGCTATCATGGGAGAGGCCAGAGCTAAGGCAGCTGGGGAAATAGGAGGCCCTATCAGGTTTGGTAGGAAAACTGGGGTGTCAGGGGCAGTTCCCAAGGGCAGAGCAGTCCCAGAGGATGACTGGGGAAAAGGAACTTCAAAAGCAGTGGAAGGAATAGTAGAGGGAGAATGGAATGGGGAAGGCTGATTAGCAGTTGCCAGAGGGCATTGTTGGGGGGCTAGGGGGTAAGGAGGGGGAAGGGCAGGTCCAGGCTGCCCTAAGGCAGTAGTGACACTCAAGGCTGAAGACACAGGAAGCACAGCTGGAGGAGAAAAGCAAAAAGGGAAATAAAGGGAAGGAAAACAAAACAAAACAAAACAAAGGTGAGTTAGCAACCTAAACGGGTACAACATGCTTCACAGGAAACACTGGAAATTTAAATCTGAGATGGAAAGTCACCACATAGGATTAGACAAAGGTGACAGGCGGTAACAACCTTCCCCAAACATTTCACTGGTGAAGTTAAGAATACACCCATCTCTTCATCTCCCACACTTTCCCAAGTTCGACCAAAATAAACCAAGTATTTTGGGGTGGAGAAAAAGTTTAAGAATAGCCTATCTCTAAATGAGGAGCCAAGAGTAGGTTGGGAATAACATGTTTTCTACTCTTTGCCAGATGTCTTTCTTATCCTTCTTGAAATGAACCACAAACCAAAGTCTTTCTCATAGTCAATAGAAAGATCACTAATAGGAACCAGCAGTTAGCGTAATGGCTATGTCGCTGGACTCCCACATAGTCAACCGCGGTTAGAGTCCCGGACCCGGTGGCTTAAACTCACGTTGGGCACGTGCGTGCATGCCCAAGATCCCGAGAGGAAAAGGGAGGAGGATTGTGGCGTGGCCATCCCCCCTGGGGGTGATTTCTCACTTTCTGACTCTCTGTCTCTCTCTGTCTGGCGAGTGCACGTGCCCTATAGCAAAAAACCTCTCCAAAAAGAGAAAAGGAAAAAAAAAAGAATGATCACTAATAGAACAGTTCTGCTACTCTGTCCACCCAAGGATTATGACCTAACTGAAATGGATATTGAAAACTGGAACAGGGAAGTGATAATGAAGGGGACTCAGAGCTGAATGAGGAAAAACTGTTCTTTCTTTTCTTTTTCTCTCTCAGGCTTCAGCTAGGCCAAGAAAAATCTGATTCTTGTTAGGATAGTTTTAGGAAGGAGGCATCTGGCAAAATTTAGTTCTTCCTAAAGTTGAAACTCTTCAGAATTTAATATTAAATATTAAGTTAACTAGCCTCCCTATGCCTTAGTTGACTTCCCAGAAACAAAACAAAAAGCAAACCACAAATGGATTAGATGCCCATAGTCTCTATAGACCTGCCTAGGTAATTTTAGCTTTTCAAATATCAATCCAAGATGAATCAAGACTTTCAGGGAGACAGCTTAGTCACAAGGGGAGGGAACTATATTATGAAACTGTAACCCAACTTGTTAAACTAGACTGTGCTTCTATTTTGGAAGCAGAGAATTAGAGTGGACAAAATACATCAGATATCCGCCCCTTGTGGAAAGGCATTTCATTCTGTTAAAATGGACTAGTATTTGGCACTCCAGTAAAACTATGTAAAGTTTTCTGAGTGATATAAAAATATGTCCATTATTCGGGAAATAATGAAGAACTCACCAACAAATGTTCAATACTTGGAAGGGAATGTTAAAAGGAAAAAAAGCTCATAGCATCGAAATTCACAATTCATTCAACCAGTAAGTCTGAAATTCTCACAGTATCCTACTTTAGAAAAGATAGGTGGCTCGTTTTTTTCTAGAGTTGGTAGTTAAAAGCCTTATGATTACAGTACAAATACTTTCAAAGATTTTAAAACACGGAAACTTCTTTTAACTGGATCTCAAGATGGGGTAAGGCCCAAATCACTTGTTCTGACACCAAAAACAATTCCTGAACTCCTTCATTTATTCTAATAGACCATTTAATTACATATAGGCAAAATCCTGAGTGCTTATCACTTGTACTCCCTTAATATTATAAACCCACTCTATAAGCTCAGACTATACAAAAGCTATGTTAAACAGCACTGTCTAGAGGTTGCTTCGTAAGTAAATGGCATTATCTTTGAATGTTCAGTAAGATGATCCCTAAAATCTTGTTTAACATTAAAAAAAGAAAAGATCTTTAGAGACCAGCCCTTTATTTCCCTCCTTCTTTAAGTCCTTACAGTTCAAGGATTTCATATTGCTCATTCCTCAGCTCAGAGGCCCCCTCCTTTTTTTTTTTTTTGCAACAGCTGTATTAATCCCTTCAGCTGCTAAAATCAGACAGGTGGAGAGGGAGAACCTTTATGCTTTAACTATAAACAACTCTACTTTGACTCAAAAAGGAGACAGAAATTGTCTTTAAGTGGCAGGTGGAATTAAACAAGCCAATTTCCCATAAACAAGTAAGGAAGATGGAAGTTACAACCTAAAAATTCCCTTCATTTAGTTCTGCACAACTGACTCAGCAAGACTATTTTACTGAAAGTTATTTTTTAAATACGTCCTCCTAAGTTCTCTAGACATGTGTTTTAACCAGAATTCAAAACTTGCCTTTTACACTGTAGTCTACACCCGTTAACATAAATGTTGAAGATAAGCCAAGGATTTATTTCAACCTTGGGTTTCAGATAATAGTGCAGGCACTATTCCAGTACACTAGAAATATCCCAGCACCAACTCCTGAAACAAATTGGTCAACCTAGGAGAACTCTTGAGGCCTGGCAGGGACACTCTTCCCACCAACACACATCTCATCCAGACATGTGATAAAGGCACAATGCCAAGCTTTGCTATCTAAAACCTTGATGCAACTTGCTGGCTGGAACTTCACAAAAGCTCAGGTCTCCTTGGCCTGCCTGTGTCATCCAGTTCCAATAGGTAAGAATCACTGACTCCATTCCCCGCTCAGTTTTGTGAGGTGGAGATGGTGGTGGGGTTTCCACAGCAGTGCTCCTTCTGAAGCAGTTGCCATAATCCACAAAGCAAATTAGGGATCTTTTAGGGGCCACGAATCGTAAAAGATATCATTTTTATCCCCCTCACCCCCAAAAAATTCTTCCAGGATAGGAATTAATTTATAGTCTCTCCTTTCTGGTAAAGTTGCAAAAGGGTTCTTTTTGAGTTAACTCTAAACGTCAGAAGTCACTTCCTCTTGGTCACTACCCACCAAATGGTCTCAGGGTCAATTTTAATTACAGGCAAGAGGGATAGGGAAACCTACCTGTCTCAGCCTGGGGCTGTGGCAACTCCTGCTCTGTAGCAGGGACGGTTTCTGTGGCTTCACCGGGCATTTCTGAAGGAAAGAGGTAAAAAGGAAACCTTTAATCAACGGGGATGCATTCACCAGCCCAAACCATCATCAAATATTCTTAAATTCAGCAGAGGCCTGTTAAGAAATAAATCTTTCGGGTGTTTAAGAGGACAACCTTTCCCCAAACAGTTGGAACTATAACTTGACTCTCAGACATGTTTTAAGCTCATCACCTTCACCAAGCCTCTTCACTCCGTGGAGTGCCCAGGTTCCTTCCAGTCCACACTCCAAATCCTACAAGGCCTGCGATCATCACCGTGTTCTCCACGCGAGACGACCTCGGTCTGGCTGCCGACCATGGGATACTTCAGCCGGCCGCTAAGCTGAACCCTTTCCCCTGCTGACATTCAATCTGACCGCACCGAGGCCTCCAGGACTCCCTGCTTACCGACATTCAATAGCCCGGAGGGCAAAGAGGGCGCTTTAAGTCCCAGCACTCGCTCGTTGCAATAAAAAATGTTGGGAGCTCTAAGGCCATGACCCCTTAACCTCCCCCGGACTCCTGCGAAGCCATTCCCAACCGCAGACGCACTCCGATACCGCCCCCAGGTTGAAACGGCTCCTATCTCCCCAGGCCTAGACTCCAAGCCCGGCCCCGCGGTCCTTCTGTCCCGCTTTGCCAGGACAGTAACCGCAAACCCCATTTTGTCCGGAGGCCCAGGGGCGAGTAGGAACCCGGTGGCCCCATAAGCCTCCAGGTCTCCTTGACTCTCGGTTCCCAAGGCGGCTTAGACCGCAAGAAAGGAGGATGGCTGCGGATAGAGAGCAGCGGCGCAGGCAGCACTTACTGTGCAGGGGACGCGGAACCAAGATGGCGGTAGAAAGAGAGCGAGCGAGAGCGTGACCCACGCCTGTTGCAGAAGGAAGCCTGGCGCCCAGGAGGCGGGACCAGGATCCGATTCCGGGTCAGGTGCAGCAGGCTGCCACTTCCTTTAATGAGTGACCCGTCCGGCTGGTCCCAGGACTGGGTGGTGACGAGGACTAAATAAGGGTGCGAATTAAGAACAGGACGCACTGGCCTGGTAGGAACTGTACGCAGAGCGCAGTCGCGACAGCGACCCTTTCCCTCCTGTGAGCTTGTCTGATGGCGGAAAGGAAACCGTGAGCGAGGCAAGCTCCGCCCTTCCTCCCGCCAAGTAGGGACAGGCTTAGTTTTAGGTGATTTCCTTCTCAAATGATGCAGGAAAATACCAAAGTAAATGACATTGAGTGCGACTAGAAAGTAGAATTAACCTAGATTAACCCGTTATTCTATTTTTAGAGTACACGATTTAAGATTATGCTGAGTTGATTCTCAATCTACAGTTGATTCTCCTCTCCAGATTAAAGAACACAGACATATAAGCAATTCATTTTTGTTGTTTTTGTCAGGGAGCCTATACCTGCAGGAGACAGTGAGAAAGTGAGTCAGAGATTACCACTCAGAGGGGATGGCCACAGCTGCAATCCTTTCTCATTTTCTCCTGGGATTTTGGGCAAACATGCACAGGCACCTGGAGTGAGTTTCAAGATGCCAGGTCCAGGAACTGAACTGCAGTCCACGTCGCAGCCCAGCGCCTCAACCACCACCCTGCTGGTCCCCACCCCCCATATAGGCAATTCTTTTTGTCAGTTCTTTTAAGCAATTAGGTAACCTGGAACTCATCTACTGGGGGCGGGGGGCGTCTAGGACCCCACGTTAAAAACCCATGTTTAATACAGTAAAATCCTGGGAAGGTAGTGTAAAATCGGTGTTTTATTAACAGAAAGGCTGCTAACTCCCAATATCCTCTCAGACCTACAAAAGGACTCAATCAACATTACCTGAATTTGATAAACTAGCTACACTATTCGATCTAACGGCTTTAAGATGATAGAGGCTGCCTTTGAAGGGAAGCAGTTGGGAAAAAATTTTTTTTGAGGTTTCTGGTATAGGGCGCTTGTGCTTGCTAGAAAGACAGAGACAGAGAGACAGTGAGAACCCACACCCCCACCCCCACCACCGGGGGCGGGGGAGGATGACCACGCCACAATCCCTTCTGCCCGACTTGAGTTTAAGCTACCGCCACCGGGTCCGGAACTCCGACTGCGGTCAGCAACGTACCCATTACGCCATCTGCTGGTCCCGGAAACAGTGGAAATTTAAAATGATTTGAAGACCACCTTAAAAGTTCCGAGATATATACCACAGTGAAGTGAGGATGAGGATTAGTGAATTAAATGATGGGGCCAGCAGGTAGGTGGAGGTTAAGGTGCTAGATTCCACATAGCCAATTTCAAGGTTTGAGGCTTGAAAATCACTGGGTGCATGTGTGTGCATGCCCAAAATCCCCAAAGGAGAGAGAATACCATGTGGCCATCCTTTGCACATGTGCATGCCTGCGTGTATGTGTGTAACTTATTCCCTTTCCCCCTTCACTCTCCAGTGAGTGCACATGCACATGCCCTATAGCAAAACTAAAAAAAAAACAAAAAAAGAGAATGTGGGGTTTTATCAGTTATGGGTCATTCTGAAATTCTCTTTAGATAAGAGAGACAATATTGGAGAGTGATTAAGAACATACCCTGGGGGGGGGGGGCGGG